CTCAGAAAAAAAAACTTTAACCAAATAGAGCTTTTTTTATTGGAAAACAGCTGTTCTGTTCCCGTCCTCTAGGAGTACAGTTGTATCCAAGAGTGTTTTCCAAGTCTTGGAAGAGTCCTTAAAGGCCTCATGGAGGCTGGATGGAGGGAGACTTCAGCACTGGGGATGGGGAGATGGCCTAGGTCAGCTGGAGGGGCCCAGGTCTGTGGTCTCCAGATAATCCCGAATGGTGCTGGCCAGGGATTCTCCATGGGGGAACACTGCCTGCTGCAGACAGGACACCAGGTACAAAGGGAAGGGCCTGAAAGAGAAGGGAGTGCTGCAGCATGGAGGACTGGAGCTGTGGGAGCAACTCCAGAGGAGGGCCAAGATCATGATGTGAGGGCTGGAGCAGCTCTGCTATGGAGACAGGCTGAGAGAGTTGGGGATGTTCAGCCTGGAGAAGGGGAAGCTCCAGGGAGACCTCAGAGCACCTTCCAGGACCTGAAGGGGCTACAGAAAACCTGCAGAAGGACTTTTTACAAGGGCATGGAATGATAGGGTGAGGGGGTACGATTTAAAGCTGAAAGAGGGGAGATTTGGATTATGTATTAGGAAGAGATACTAGGAAGAAATTCTTTCCTGTGAGGGTGGTGAGACATTGGCACAGGTTGCCCAAGGAAGCTGTGGATGCCCTGTATCTAGAAGTGTTGGAAGGGGTTTCGAACAACCTAGCCTAGAGGGAGGTGTCCCTGCTCATGGCAGAGGGTTGGAACTAGATGATTTATAAGGCCCCTTCCAACCTAAACCACTCTGTGACTCCATGATTCCTGGCCATGACCTGACTCAGAGGTCAGCTCTGACCCCCATTTGCCACCACAGACCTGAGGTCTGGCCTCTTTCAGCTCTTCTGTGCCCAGGGAGCCCCTGCAGAGCCACAGCCCACCATCTCTCAGAGCAGACATGGGGGGGAAGCTCCTCAGACACAGCTGGAAACATAGGCTGTGCTGCTGGAGCTCTCATGTGGGGCTGAGATTCCCCCATCCCTCTACACACCTTCCTTGCTGCCCATCCTCCCCAGGGGGGCTCTGGGAGAACTTCTGCCAGCAAGCAGCTGCCTCCTGCTTTCGGTTCAGCTTCCACAGGGTCTGCACCAGGTAAGAGGCAGCAGCTGGGTTACCTGCAAGACATGAAGGGGGGATTCAGACCTGGGCAGGGGAGGAGCAGGTTTTCCAGGGCTGCTGTGGGTTGCAGGGTGTTACAAAAGAAGATGAGAAGCCAGGAGAGGGAGGTGAGCATGAGGAGAGGTGGTGCCAGGGGGAGAAGAGCAAAAAAAAGTATTGCAGGCTCTAATTAAGCCTGGGGCTGGCAGCCAGGGCTGATGGCATCATCGCTATGGCACAGCTGGCCATGCATGTCTGGACATGAGTTGGGGTTCTCCTTGCAGGTTGGTCTGCACTATGAAGTGAGGGAGCCTTGGTCAGGACTGGGTCCAGCAGATTTGCGACCAGCAGGTCTGGCCAAGCTCACTTGCAGCATGTTCACACAGCCAGAGCACTGGAGCACTCACTCGCCCTAAGAGCAGCAGTAGCCACACCTCAGCTGTGCTCTGACATCTACAGCTCTCCACTCCCCTCTCCCTGACAGCCCTCTGTACTCAGCCTCTGCAATGCCAGGCATGGACATGCTGCTCCCCAGGGTGCAGCAAGAGCCTAGCTGCTGAATTGCTGTGGTCTAAAACATTAAGACCTTTCTGCTGCATACAGCAAAGCAGCCCAGGACAAATGTGTGGAAATCCCCTCAGTTCCTCACCACAATGAGGCTTTTACCTGGCGAGACCTGCAAACTGTGCTGGAAATCCAACAAGGCTTCCTTGTGCTTCCCCAGCTCCAGGAACTGCATCCCACGCCCGATGAGGCAGAGCAACCTGATCTTCTGGAGCACGTCCACTTCTGGTAGGAGATTCTCTGGCACAGAAGACACACACACCTGAAGACAGCATCCTCCAGACATTCCCTCATTTATCCCAACAGGCTGAGACAGGTGAGCAGTCAGGTTAGGTGGAATATTTACTTATTTGGAGGTGTTAAAGGGCAGGTTGGATGGGGCCTGGAGCAGCCTGGTCTAATGGGAGGTGTCCCTGCCCATGCAGGCGGTTGGAACTAGATGACCTTTAAGGCCCCTTCCAACCCAAAGCATTCTGTGATTCTATGATTTTCCAGCTCCCCAAACTCTTGGTGGAAGAGCTCTGCCTCTCTGCCAGGCTGAGGGATGCCAGGAGGACAAGAGAGAGAGCACCAAATGCTCACTACATGACAAGGCTCTGGTGAACAGTGACCTTGGAAGCAGCCTAGCCTTTGGCTGGCCCCTCTACACAATGGGTACAGATCTCTTCCCTGAAATCAGGATTGGAAATGCTCCCTGATCACAGCCCATTTAACTGTCACCCAAACAGCAGGAAAGGAGGCAGAGCCAAAGCCAAACCCTGCTGTAACCAAACCAGTGGTGGCTGCAGCATGGTGCAGAGCTCAGCATGCTGGGACAAGCCCCTGCTGCCAGAGGTGATGCTGGGCATGGAGCCTTGCTCCTGTACCACAGCTCCAGACCCAGGCAGGACCCACACATGTCCCAGCTGTGCAGTGTCCTACCTGTTGGTCCAACACCAGGCCCATAAAGCTGGACTCGCAAGAGATCACTGAGGCACCTGTAGATGGGAGGACAGAGGAGCTTCAGTACCAGTGTTGTTCCCTGCTCCAGCCCCTGCCAGCCACCGCTGCCAGCCAGGAATTCCCTTCTCCCAGTGAGTCTCCCTCACCTGCTGAA